GTATTTGACATCTGTCAGTAAATTTTCTAGGTGTAAACAAATTAAATGACAATATTAAAAAGAAATTTTAATTTTAAAATTTAATAAGGAGACATATACAATATTTTCCCCCATATAAGAATAAAACAAAGCTGAATATTTTTATTTTTTGAACATGGATGGATAGCTCGCTCTAGAAATGAGCTTTAATTAATTTTGCTGCTGGGCTATTTCTCATGAATTGCTTTATAAATAGGTGCAATGCTTTACTTGATACTCTTCTACTTTTCTATTGCAGAGTGCCAATTGTTCTTGTTGGAAATAAAACAGATCTTCATATGGAAAGGTACATCTTTATGAATTATGTTGTTGAATGTTGTGCACTAAAAAAATTAACGAATTACATTTTGCTCTGAAAATTTTAGAATTTACTATTTTGAAAAAGCAGTATTTGCATTTGTCCCAACATTTATATATACCGTAAAAACTCAAAATTTATATATACCGTAAAAACTCAAAATTTATATATACTTGCTTCACTGGATTTTCCCTGGCTGTTATCTCTTATTAAATCATTTTTACAAACAGAGAAAAGATGTATTATATTAATAATAATAATAATGTTGAGGTAATCACGAGAATACCGCAAAGTGTGTACAAAGGCAGTATGAGTTCACATTGACTCTTCATTACTCTGTTCTACGTCATGATTACTGTGAACAACTTCAAACAGATTTTGATAATAACAATGGTTGTCTTTTCACTTTCAGAGTTATCAGTTCTGAAGTTGGGAAAAATTTAGCTGATTCTTGGAAAGCAGGCTTCTTAGAATCTTCAGCAAAAGAAAATGAGGTAAAATAATGCTTTTAGAGAATCATCTTTCTATCTTCCAAATACCACGGCAAATAGAAAATTTTCTGTTCACCACAAGATCGCACATATTGCATGAATGGCACGGAATGAATGTCAAATTTAATTTAATTTGAATTTTGTTTTTTTTAGTCAAGATAAGCATTTTGACAAGGGAAACTTTACCATCATCAAACGTATATAAATGTGGAAAAATATTTTCACGTTTACCGAACGAATCCCATACAAATTTTTTACATCACTACAACGCTATGACATTTTTTTTTTTTTTGTTATGCTCCCTTTTAAAGTGCGTTGGTTGTCGTGCCGCATGTTCGAATTTCATGTAAATAAACAATGTATTTTACACTAGTTGTATACATCGCTATGTGTCCCATATCGAACAGGACGCGGCACGACAACCACCGCCCTTTAAGCATAACGTGGGATCTCACAGTGAGCGGAAAATGGTTTATTTACTGAATTGCAATGGGTGGCTGTACACAATATTCTCTCTAATCCCCTGACACATCATGACTGATTCTTGTCAACTAGTTATGCACACAAATACAGAAACATAAATTTAGGAATTTACCATTAACCAGAATTACATCTGACATTTAATATATAAGAGGTTAGTGAGGCTTATTTTCAGGATATCATATGTAAGTAATAA